ATCTTTTGTGCATATATGAATCCGTTAAAATCAGCAAGTTTTAATTCAGATAATATGGATGATAGTAGTTATGCATCACAATAATTAAAAAAATTTGTTAATGCAGGCCTAAAATAAATATAATATAAATATATATATTTAATGCACATGTATTTATGGTTAATCATAATAGATTTAATAATGGGAAATGTACATACGTATTGGATAAACATTGTAGGGCTGCGCTTTTATTTAAAAAAAAAAAAAAGATTGAGAACGTAAATTGCGTAAATTAATGTGTAAATTGAATTAATCGAACAAAAACTTTCGCTCACCTTGCATAACAAGTAATTCCCAAATTCTTCAAACCGACGAGACCTATATACGAACGTTTTAAATTATGGTTATTGTGAAATTAATCATCCGCGTAATTAGTTAAATAATATGAGCTACCTGGGACATCTATTGTTGATTGATCCACCGCTTGTTGTGACTTGTTTCGTTTCCCTTGCTACTGACAAATAAGACATTAATTAATAAATAAATAAAATATTAATATGTGTAATTGACTTAACTCAGATAAGAATACAAAAAGTAAAAAGGATAGTTACCAGACATCTTATGACAGTTTTTAAATAAATACGTGCTTCCGAATTTAAATTATTATCTTCAAATGGATTCAGCTCGGAACTACAAGCAATACACCATATTGTAAGTGTACGCGGATTAACATAAACTGAATGACATGCGTCATCACGATTTTCCTATCAACATTGAAAACGTAAATATTCTAGTGAAATCAATGAATTGGTAAAATTTTCGAGAAAATATTACTCATACTTTATGTAAAATTTCGAAATGATTGCGCATATGATATTTCGAATTACTACAACAAACAACTGCACGACACCGGTTCTATAAATAAAAATATCATTTAGATTACATAATTTGTTACAAAGTTTAAGCATTTCTATGAAAAAACATACGTGTAAACAAACCCATAGTTTGGGTATTCGAGACTCGCAGGTATCACAGCGAAGGGAAGCATTAGCCACATGCTTCTATATTTATTAAAAAACACGTTTTGGATTAACTATGATAAAGATCTAAACTGTAAAGTAGATTCGATAGAAAATTAAATGAACCTTAAATGAGGAAGTTTCGATTTTAACTACTGGTGAACCTTTTTTTGTAATTCTATTAATATGTGGACAATTAACTTGTGATGCATTATTTATAGATCCACGTTCTGAGGTTTTTGAACGCATTATTAGAAAATAAGGGTGAATAAATATAGGAAAAAAAGAAAGTTTTATTAGATATCTAAAATTAAAACGAATAAGTTAATCTCGTATAATTTAAATATAATTAATTGTTATTACTCTTTATCTTGACTAATTTAGGGTTGGATAATGTTGATAATCATGTTGTGCATTCAATTCAAAAATAACAAGTGATAAATGCAGCGCAGCCAAAGATGTTGTCGAATGAACCTTTAAAAAATGTCAAATTATTATTCGCGCAACATTGTAGTACAACATCAAAAGATAAAATAGTCGTTGCATCTGCAAAAAATTTTTTTTTGTAAAAATTTCTCATTTTTCTCCGATTTTTTCTCCGAGTTGTTTAAATATTTAAATTATGGCAAATCAAAGAGCTATTGTTAAGTGTGTTCTTTCTGGCGATACGTTAATCCTTCGCGGAAAACCTACTGGTAACCAACCTCCTCTCGAAAGACATTTGAACTTGGCCCTTATTCAAGCTCCAAGACTTGGAAATCAAAAAAAAGAGGATGAGGTAATTTAAATCATCGGATAAAATTTTGATTTGCTGATAGGGCATAGATGTTAAAATCAGCGATATTTGGAGTTCAAACTTTAGATGAATGAACGACTGAGACTTTTTTTTTCAAAAAAAAAATTCCACGTGATTTCTTATAGCCTTTCGCTTTTGAAGCTCGTGAATATCTTCGTCCTATATTAGTTGGTAAAGAAGTCACATTTCGCGTGGATTATACTATTCCGAACACCGGAAGAGAATATGGAACCGTATTTTTAGGTACCGATAATGTTGCCCAAATGGTAGTCAAAGAAGGGTGGGCGAAACTTCGAGATGATGGTAAAAAGAACAAAGAAGAAGATAAGGATTTTGAGGCGTTGACTGCTTTGGAATCTGCGGCGCAATCTGCTGGTAAAGGTGTCTGGGAGAATAAAGAGGTTCTTTATCAATTTAGCAAATGGTTTTAAATTGCTTTGTCCATCATTAACATATATTTCTTATCACATTATATTTATTTGCAGTATTCGCGCGTTGTTAATTACACTTTGCAAGAAGATTCCCGTGAATATTTGAATAGATATAAAGGATTGCCTGTTGAAGGTAAGTGTTTGTAAATGCTACGCGAGCTTATTTCAATTGCTTATATCAACTTTGTTTCAAATAGGTATTATTGAACAAGTTCGAGATGGATCAAGTTTGCGCGTTTTATTCATGCCTCCTTTCCCTGCGCCACAACAATATCTAAGTATAAGCATTTCTGGAATAAAAGCTCCAACTGTTCGTAGAGATGTACCAGACGTTGAAGATTTGATTGAACCATTTGGCGAAGAAGCTAAATATTTCGTGGAAACTAGATTACTGCAACAAAACGTTAAGGTGATACTGGAAGGTTTATCTATGAACAACCAGACCTTTTATGCTACGATTTTACATACTAATGGTAATATAGCGGAATTTTTATTATCGGCTGGATTAGCTAGAGTGGCTGATTGGAATATCACTTTAGTCACTGATGGACCTACTAAATTACGCGCAGCTGAAAAGTATGTTATTTATTTTATTTTAATATCCATTTTTTCATGTAATAATATTAATTATTTTCATTCTTTAGAATTGCTAAAGAAAAGCAACTTCGACTTTGGAAAGATCATGTTGTAAGGACCAGAGCTGGTGGAGATGACCATGAATTTGAAGGCACAGTATGTAGAAAAAATTGAAATAGGAGCTACTTAATTGAGTGATTAAGAAAGAAGTTCATTAAATTATTTAGGTAACACGTATAATCTCTGGTGATACTATTCAAGTAAGGCATAATCTAACTGGAGTAGAGAAGAAATTGCAACTATCGAGTATTCGTCAACCAAAGTACGTGAATTTTGTTAATTTTCATTATTTATATTATTTATTTACGGACTTTACTTTCATTTATAATAGGCCAAAAGATCCAAAATTTCCAGAATATAATTTTGAATCAAGAGAATTTTTGCGGAAGAAGTTAATCGGTAAAACTGTAAGTTAATGATATATATATATATATCTATTTATCTATATAAATATATATATAATGAACTTCAAATAATAAATATTCCTTGACTTCCATTTCATGTATAAAAGGTTAAAGTAACTATCGACTATAATAAACCTGCGACAGAAGGGTATGAAGCGAGAGAATGCGCGACCATTAAACTTGGAGAATGGTAAACATTAAATATGACGTCTGCTTTGATAATTTCTCTTTTTACCATGAAAATGTGAAATTAATTTTTTTTTCATTTTACTTAGGAACGCAGCAGAGGCCTTACTTGAACGTGGTTATGCTCACATTATACGTCATAAAAAAGACGATGAAGATCGATCAAGTTTTTATGACCAACTTTTGATTGCAGAACAAAAGTATAAATTTATTTATTTTGTTATTTTCTTTTACATATTATGTCAACACGAATTCAATATTTCAGAGCACAAACCAATACCAAGGGTGTACATAGCCCCAAGGATCCTCCAGTTTACAGAATTAGTGATGCTTCTGAGGTTTGTCATTATGTTATGTAAATTAATTTAAATGGATTATAATTAAATTATGTATATATTTATAGACTCCATCAAAAGCTAAACAATTTTTACAAACGTTGAAAAGAGCTGGTCGAGTTGTTGGTGTAGTGGATTATGTAGCAAATGCATCAAGATTTAAAATTTATATTCCAAAAGAAGGTTACAAACTGACATTTGTGCTTGGAGGAGTACGTGCTCCAAAACTTGCGCGCAATCCTTCAGATAAATCTGATCCATTTGCTGCTGAAGCATCGGAATTTGCTAATCGTAAAGCATTTCAACGGGATGTAGAAATTGAAGTTGAGAATGTTGATAAAACTGGAGGATTTATCGGAACGATGTGGATTAAAAATGAAAATTTTGCGGTAATTTTATTGCAAGAGGGATTTGCCACTATTCATGAATATAGTGCAAGTCAGAGTCCTTATTCACAACAATTGTATACTGCTGAAAAAAGTGCCAAAGAAGCGAAGAAAAATGTAAGCAATCATCATATATTATCTTACAAATTTATTTGTCTTTATTTCCTCAGCTAAATTCGCACTTTGCATTAGATATGGTCAATACAAGATACTGAATCCTTTAAAGAGCAAGAAACCACAATAGAAGTGGAACCGCGTAAAGAATATATAGACATCATTATATCAGAAATTATTTCGGGAGGAAGATTTTACGTACAAATAATTAACGAAGACATTCATAAATTAGAGAAAATGATGTCGGAATTTTCTTTACATCATAAAAATGATGCGAGTTCGGTAATATTTTCTCCAAAAAACCATGAGATGGTTAGTGCTCAATTTACTGGAGATGACCAATGGTACATATAAAGAAGATTAAATTTATTTTGTTTGCTAAACTTTTTTTTTATTAACCACATTTTTTGGTTAATAGGTACCGTGCGAAAATAAGAAGAGTCATTCCGGAATCAAAAAGTGTCGAAGTAATTTATATTGATTACGGAAATGTTAGTAATTTCTGGTATTTAATATTAATTTTTTTTGAATAGGGATATGATAAATTTATTAAATTTTTTAAAATTTATCTAGTCTGAAGTAATTCCATTAACTCGAGTTCGTCCACTTCCTGATAAGTTTAAACAATTGCCGTTTCAATCTAAGGAAGCCGTGCTTTCGTTTTTGAAAATTCGTAATCTAGAGGTAAATTAATTTTCCTTAATAATGAAAATGTTAATTTTTTATTGATTGCCTTTTTTTTCATTATAGGATGATTACGGAGAAGAAGCGCGAGAGCATTTTAAAGATATAGTTGGAGATAGTAAACTCGTAGCTAACGTTGATTATAAAGACAACAATTTGCTTCATCTTACACTTTATAATCCAAAACAATCTCAATCTACAGAAGCTTCGATTAATATAGAAATGATTAAAGCCGGATACGCAACGGTTGATAAACATTCTATATTATATAAAAGCAATCCTGCAGTTGTAACAAAATTACTTGAAGCCCAAGAACAAGCTAAGAAAGATAGAGTAAGTTGTAACATATTTTACATTCAACAATATCTCGTTTTTGATTATTTGGAATTATTTTTTGATTTTTTTTTAATTTAGGCGGGAATGTTCGAGTATGGTGACATTACTGCTGATGATGAATAAATGACTAGATAATTTACATATAATATTTATGAATCAAGTTCCTTTATTTATTTTGTTATTATTAAAAGAAACAATTAAGAAATATTTTTGGTCTATGTTCTAATGTAACATTGGTGTAAATAAAAAAAAGGTTTGGAGAAAAATTAAAATTTTCTGTAATATTTAACATTTAAAGTAGATTAATTTAGATTTTATAGTTTATTTCTTTATTTGAATATTAACTAACATTTTAATAATAATTTTTATAAAAATTTAAAATTACTAATATTTGGTTTAATAAAAAATAAATTACAAATTTAATAATTGAATAATAAATACTTTAACAATAAATTGTTTTAATTGTTTTTATTTTTAAATTAATTTAATTTAAAATATCAAAATATTAAAGGTATTAAATATAAAATATTTTATATTTTAAGGTTGCCGGGCAAAACCCGGAGGTTTCGACAGGCATCGAAATCGAAACCCATCGAAACGTTTTGCCAAAATTTTTTCTTAAAGGCAAAACTGCGAAAGTTTCGACGGGTGGCAAAAGTTTCGACGGATGGCAAAAACCCATCAATAT